TCCAATTCCAATGCTGGCGGGCAGAGAGATGAAAAACAATTTCCTTCCCGCAAAAGTATGGTCAAATCTTTGTGCTGCACTTGAAACCCTGCCAACAGATTCAATTGTGAATTTCTGCAATGTTGCTCCTCTCTGCATCTCAATTATGGGATTGTTTGCTGGGAAATGTGATGAAAAATTTCATCAACTCAGAGTCTGGCTTTCAATAAGTCGAAAAAGACTAGCTGTAAAATTTTCTGTCACTTTGCAGAAATAAATTTAGTTTTAATTTGATAAAGAATTTTTTTTCTATAATTTCTACGAGTTAATAAATTTACTTATTGTGTTCATTGACTTGAATAATGGTCGTAAGGAAAATATACTTGTTCTTTCTACATATATTGATGCTCATAAGCCAACGTACACAGCTTTGCTAGGCAAACTGATTGGGTTCTGCGATATGCGTGTTCCTGCTTAAAATGCTCAGCGTTTACGTTCTCGAGGAGCGAAAATCTAGTGCTGTCCTCGGCATGAGGCGCAGTTTTCGGGCCTGATATCCTCCTCGCGATTGTGCCACGAACAGAGTCATAATAGTATTTTGCTGACGAGTCGGACGACTGAGTGCCTAAGTGGTTCTCCTCGATGCGTATCGGAAAAGTAATTGATATGCAAATTCGCATAGTCGTCATCCCGTTCCACCCAATCCGCCACGGAGATGCGGCAGGAATTGTGAGACGGAACACTTTGGGAGATATGACACCGTAAGTGGCCATTCGGGGCGTGGGAGCTCACTTTGTACGCATTTCTTCATCCGCACAATGTGCTTTTGTTGGAGGCGCCCAAAATGCATGAGAGCGCGAGGGTGTGTAGAAATAATTTAGTTGAACATTTTTATTTAGACCACGTTCATGAAATTTCATTAGCATAAACATTCCGCCCACCCCAGAAAAGCGCGTGTGGAGGACTTTCGTCATGCGGGTGAGCCACCCTTCGCTGGAAAAACTACAACTCTGAATTGCCACTTCCTCTCTGTAAAATTCTATCTCTATCCCCGAAAAAATTGCCCGGAGAACGTGGGCCTGGGACGGCGGGGCAGAAAAGGGATTTCCACTGTCCATGTCATGCCCAGGATAAAAAACGAGTCTGGGAGGAACACCAGCAATTTATCTCATGAGAGCCACATGGGGACTCTCATGTCCAGCACTGGGTCAATGGCAGAGTGAGATTGTGACTCTTCGGACACCCATTGAGCACTAAGGAGATGGTAGATGTGCAAAAAAGGTGGTAAACAAACAAGTCCAAACTATAGAATTCAATTTATTCCGGTGTAATACATACAATCCAGAGAGAGATTCCTCCTCCGGGCGAAAGCTCCCTCTCCTATGACGTATGAGGGTTATGCGCTCTTCTGACTCGACACAGTATCTACATTATACAACATTGTACCGCTGAGCCATGAATAAAATAGGCGAGTAACATTTTTATGGCAATCGTATTGAGTTTATTTAAATCCATATGCAGAGCGAATGGGAGCAGAAGAAAGAGGTCTAGCATCGATTTCCTTATATAGGATTTTTAAAGACAAATTTTTACATCATTGTTTCAAACCTCCATTTGATTTTGCCACTTAAAAAACTACTCATGGAAGCATGATCTAATTTATTTAATTTTTCACCATAAATGAAATTCATGGTTTTGAATGTACATTGACTTTTTCGACTTTAAATGGGAAAATGTAATACGCGTGTAAAATAAAACTATTCACAAATGCACACGTTGAATATTTCAAATATTTAATGCACCGACCAGTTACAACGTGGTTTTTAAATTCGCATTTGAATTTCAATTTTGATTTTAAAAGCTTCTCATGAATGTTTAACGCACTGCACTGAAATGTCTGTGACATAAGCTCTAATACCGACATTACTGAAATTGACCAATAATTTTGAAAATAAATATTTCATAAACGCACAAAAATGTATATCTATTTTATTGTAAATCAATCAACCCAGCAAAATATTTAGCATTTTAACTTTGACATTTAATTTGCGAAAATCAACTGGAGAAAAAATCTTGCAAATATGAATGCTTAATATTGGCAAAAATTTACATTTAAGCTGTAAATTGAAAAAAATTTCATATGTGTAAATTTTAAACATTTCAATTAGTTGATAAATTCTATTTTATCATCAAGTTATACATTAAGAGATAAAAACGCATGAAATCGAGGAAAATCAATGATTTAATAAAAGTTTCACACAGAATGATGTTTGTTAAAATGCATTAACTGCGTTTTATTTGAATATTTTGATTTTCTTTGATATGGCAAAATACTTTCAAGTAAACACAGCAACATAGTGAAACACAGTGTGAAATAAAATGGAGCGTGATAGTGAAATCCCGGTGATTGTAAATCAAATGAAAAATATTTCGTAATTTGCATGAGTGGCGGCAGAGAGGTAACCTATATTAGCTATTTGATTGCGATTTTACATGAGGCCTCGCCTCACAAACTCTCTCCCACTGGTGAACTCACAAAACTAGTGTGAGTCTCCTCTGGGTGACCCGCAGACCAGAAACGACAACTTCATCAGCATTCATCACGTAATAGGAACCCGAGCCGTGTGTTTGAATCTCGCGACAAAATTTATTGGCTGATTTCTTCAGCTTGACACTTTAACTCGTGCATGCAATTTCCCTTTGTCACTATCAGCATATTTACAAATATTTATTTACTGTTTCAACGGAAACGCCGAGCGGTTAGCTGGAGTGAGCCGCATAACAAAACCGATTTGTTAACAAGACTCCTTCATCAGTGGTACGAAAATAATGCCTAAAAGAATCAAAGCAATGCCACTTTGGCTTTGGTGAATTTAAGAGATTAGGGAGATATACATAATTCAGAGAACAGTTGTTTCTACATAAGATTTTAAGCAAAATCACGACATTACTCAGAGAGATTTTTTGAATTTATTTAAAGCTTCTCAAATTTCCACATGACCTCTGTCCTTTGATATGGATCATGTTGGACAAATTGAAACTGCTCATTTATTGAAACGGAAAATTCAAGATTGTGAAAAACAGAATTTTGTATTGAATTTCCATTGGTCGCATACATCCTATCAATTGGTCATTTTTTGAGGGATTACTTCTGGTCGAGTGGATGGTGTGGGGAAAAAATCACATAAGCCGCTTTGGGGGTCATTCATAAATATTTGACATGGCGAAACACCACAATCTCATGCCTCTGCTCCAGTTCCAAAAGCAACCACTCCGTATCGCCATTAAGGCGAAGCCTCAAAAACAACCAACAAACTCTTAGACATCTAAATATGGCAAGCATCTCAAGTCGAATATCATTTCTAAAAGTACATGAAAGGGAGAAATTGTTTATCTACTTTTTGCACATCTTGGCCTGCCCCTGACTCGGTCTCAGCGGCCTCTCAAAGTGGACGTGAGGCTCCGCTGATTGAGATACAGAGCACTATTGACCCGGGACATTCGTCTATAAATCACACTATTGATTTGTCCAAAAAATCTAACTTACCCCTGCCTCAGATTGCGCTCATGGAGTCTCAAATACCACCGAGTTGCTGTGGCTTTTCGGTCCTGAACAACGCGACGAAAAAACTCATAACGATGTAGCCATTCAATCCACAAACGGCAATCTGTCAGCGACACAAAACTCCAACCAAAAGCTTTAGCTCAATTTTTTTTTACTTTCACCACCCTCTTCCCAGCCCTAATCTACAGCCGCACATTTGGGGGCAAATGAGGAAGATGTTACTGGAAATCGTAGATTCTCGTGCAGGAGTGAGAATGTATGTAAATGTTTTATGTTTGCCAAAGAACACATGCTCTTGTGGCTGTTTAGGACAAGAAGCATCTATGAGTGTGGGAATGGATGCAGAAAAAGGAGACCGCAGAGCATTAATCTCCTTCAAAATATACCAAGATGGGGTCAAAGTAGATCCCTTCCGGGCTCGTCAACTGAGTGGAAGAAACTGTGAAAATGTTCTCCAATTTTCACATACTTTAGCTTAAAGCCATGACAAATGGGATTATTTAGCCCATCAGAAAGGTTATTAAGTACAAGATTTCTCTTCAAAGTTATCTCGTGTGTGACTATGTCCGCTGAATGACAATGGTGCTGTATGACTTAGTCACACACAAGATGTAAAAATTATTGCGATTATCAAATGTATGAATGAATAAATGTACAAACATGATTTACACTGTCAATCAGCTGCTCAGATTTAGATCAGATTCGCAGTTTTGCCAATTAGCTTAAAATAGCTGCCAATTTTTTTTCTCTTACGTTAATCTTATTATACGCATTAGTTTTATTGATTACACTTCTCCAGCTCATTAAGAAAACATGTGCTGCGAATGAGGACGCAAATTGAGACCGAATCGGCAGGATAGAAATTATCGTGAGAGATGAGAGTGAGCGCTCACCGTCGACTTACTTGTACCATTTATTGAATTTCTATGAGGCGTCGTTAGTCTTTAACCGATCCAGACACGTGTGTTGTGTGAACGTTGTCGGAGGGTCGAATGGCATCAGGGGACAAAAAGCCATGTCGATCTGCCCTCAGTGGATTACACAAAGCCACCGCATCGCCTCAATCGGATTCACTAGCCGCCTTTCCCTCTACTAATATCTTATTAAGATGGCATTCGAGCTAATTAAACTGCCGATGTCCATTGATGATATCCTCTATCATACAACATTTAATAGCACATCTGTGAAATTTGTCAAAGAAGCTGAGAAAATCATCCCCAGCATCAGTCGTCACGATTGAAGCTCATGTATCACCCACAAGGTTTCAGTGGAGCACTAATGTGAATTGTATCACGTAATAAGAGAAAATTGTAGAATCCAATAGTGACAGCAAAGTGGATGGCATTTCCTAAGCAATTTTCAGCATGCAAGAATATTTTGAAACACCCAAAGTCATCCGAAGAAAAACCATAAATTGATTTGCAGTCGCGTGTTTGTGCTGTATCCATCTTCTGAGAGCATTGCACGTTGAATTTTCATATCTTGCTGCTTTGAATACCAAAATAGCAAAATCAATGGAATATCACTGGAATTTGTTTATCTTTCAACGTTGGATTGTAATTCAATAAAAAATGTGTTGAGTGTTGACATTTAAAATTACCTCAAATGTATTTTCACTCGCAAATCAATTCCCACAAATTTTCCCTATGCTTTTCCACTAACTATGTCCTTTCCAGCCTCGTGGATGTTCTCTTTGGTGTTAAATTAAATAGAGAAAGCAAACATTTGAGTCCTGAATGTCTTAAGATTGTTTTGAATATGTACAGTGTGAATCTGAACATTACCAAAACTATTCCAAATTATATTCCGTTCAAAGATTTTTTTTTACGCAAAGCGGTTTTTTCTAGGCGGCTAATTATGACGAAATCTGACGGTAAAAAGGGGGATCAATTTTTTGAGTTTCATCCGACGGTTGGTCCGTCTGTCGGTCGATATTTTTTTACCATGGCATTTTTTCCCACTCGAACATCTTTAGGTGCGAGAGTGTTTTGTAGAAAAATCGAATTTTGGTGGAATAATGTTCTCTCGCGGAATTTCGAAAATCATTTTTTTTTCACTTTAGTGCCCCTAGCGGTGATTTCTACCAAATTATGATGTTTGAGTAGGAGATGGCATTTTATGACACCTTTCCTCAAAAAAATGTTCGTTAGCAATGCATACTTTTAACCTTTGGCGTAAACCGCGTGTCGATATCTTTTACCGTTTAGGCGCCACAAGCCCGTTTGTCACGACGAACACACCGAATGATAGACGCGAAAAAATGTCTCCCCTCCCTTTTTTCGTCTCATTTCGTCATGTTAAGACTTCCTGACAGAGTCCATTATAGTTGTTTTTGCGAGGCTTGATTTTTTAGCAATGTTTCAGCTGTATTTCAGCTGATATTAGCTGCGATGTGAATCTCAGCTAGACAAAAAGCTTATTCACCATCAGGGCGGTGTGGCTCAGTGGTTAGCGTGCTTGACTCACAGTGCGACAGTCGTGTGTTCAAATCCCACCGCTTGCAAATGGTTTGAACACAGCAGAATGCAAAAATTAAGCTTTTCAATGGCAAAAAGCAGCCCATATGGTTGCTGTTGAATGTTTCCAATTGAAACATACGCTTCACTGAAAATGTCTTGCGCTCTGTCTCTGTATATAAAGGTGGACGTTTAGAACCACTTATGGTTGGTCGGCACTTTGCCACCGTAAAACTAAAACTTCTCTAGAATCTCCGCTAAGAGAAGAATAGTAATAATGATTATAATAGAGAGAAGGCTGTGAGCCCAATGGGGCGGTAATGCCTTCCCAATTTGAGGTTACCAATTTACCATTACTTAATTACTTATAATATACTTCAGTGCCTGCCGTGGTAGCTGCTCGTGATAAAAAGTCATTGTTTTACGAGGAAACAGCGAAACCACCTGCTGGGCATAAAACCCGGAGTGGCTCGGTGTGATTCGGTAACGATTTTGAAAAAAATGGTTACCGACACACGTGACCAGCATCCTACGCATTGACGCCGGAAGGATTCTATGCCTCATAGTGAGAACATGTCTTCCTCCCGACGTCATTTGCAGGATGCTCTCGAGCGTCTATAATACAGAAAATATATTTTAAAAATACAAATAAAAATTATGAATACCAAGAGAACTTAGGACAGGGACGGGGGCATGGCCTGGCACAGGTAGTTGACGGCGCGGTACCGGATCCGGAATTTCTGGGCGCACAGCAGGATTCCACACTCCTGCCCTTTCCCTCCTCTGAGCCAAGGCCTTGCGCAGGCTTATACGGCAGGCCATGTTGCAAGCCTCAGGCAACAACTGGTAGAGGTCAGCTTTCGTCATCCAATCCAGATATTCGACATCCATTTGGAATGCTGAAAATGCATGAAAAAATATTTTTAATAATAAATGAAAAAAGTCATGAATTTGAATATATTTTCAACTTACTTCAAAGACCGTCATCCAATCCAAGTAATCGACATTTATACGGCTTGCTATACATGAAAACGTTTTTTTTTTTTAATAATTAACAAGAAAATCATAACATTGATTAACATTTGAACTTACTTAAGAAGCGCTGCAGGATCAGCTCTGACATTATGGACATTCATTGTCATTATATGTAACTTCCTCAATCGCACGGTATTCTTCCGTTTTATTCTGAGACACTGCAAAATACACTTACATTAGTAAAATAATCCAAATTATTACTTCACGTATTGATTAGGGGACTTATTGGGGACGGTGTGACACAAGGTCATAAAAAAGGTTAATGAAGATAACAACTCCCTTTTCCTGCTGTTGATGATCTCGTATTGAGTTTAGATGTATCTGCAATGTAGAAGATAAAATTATGATTCTGATTTTTCATAATATATAAGGATCCTCTCTCTTTAGAAGAATCTAAACTTCATCAGCACTACATTTTCAATTAACATATGTTGCTTCGTTACCTTCTTCATGCTAATTAAATTGAATTTTAAAAGAAGGTTTAGGAATTTAATTGGAATTTATAGGAATGCAAAGGAATTTATAGGAATTTGATAGACATTTTTGGAATTCAGTGGAATTTCTTTTGAACTTGTCTCGAATATATGTCCTCTATTGGAGAAGGCTGTGCTCCTCAAAGGGGCATTAGAGCCACAAAAATAAGTAAGTGTGGTTCGCTATGTGCTCATAAAAGTGTTTAACTCTGAAATATTACAGTGAAATTTCTCTTACCCTCTGTGAACATTTACTACTTCTTTCAGTGTGGCGTATTTCAGTTTTTAACGCCATCCAACAATAGATTATTCCTTGTGCATTTCTTTAATAAACCATATATAACACTAAAAACTTCCGTGGGATTTCGTGCAGCAATTCAACAAATTGTATTCGCCTCAGAAAAAGCGACGAGAGCTTTCTTTTCCATACTTTCATTTACAAGAATTATACCGAAAGTTCACCTTTTTCCCAGATTGCAATTGCTCCCTGACCTCACTCTTTGCGAAAACTATATTTCACCACCAGGAAAATGGGGGTGGCAAAAAAGTTCGAAATAATAATAATCACTGGGAATGGTGGCGCGGTTTCTGTGGTGGAATTTTTTTTCTTCGCACTTCACATCTTTTTCGTGGGTGAAGTTGAGAAAAAAGGAACTTCACACTCACTTCCACTATTGTCAGAAGCACTTTCTATTCGGGAAGTATGAAATAGATTTATTTTTGATAGAACTTTCTCTCACGTCTCCTGGGCTTTATATGCTTTCTGTGCACTTCCCGTGCATGTGGTCTGCCACAAAAGAACAATATTGTGAGAGTTGTGGTAGGAGAGCTGCATTTCTTAATTAAATTTGAACTTCAATGTCTCGACTGGCTCGACAGTATTATTGATTTTCAGTACGGTAAACAGATTTGTATAAAATGATATCGTTGTGTAGGATTGTCACCCGCAAAGGTGGCCATATCCTATCCTATATAATTTATAGGAAGCAATCCTATACGATCCGAAATGATCATAAATGATTAAACTAAAAGCTAAACTAAACAATCATAATTGATCATAAACAATCATAAATGATCATAGATGATCCTAAACAATTATAAAAGATCCTATATAATCCAAAATGATCATAACGGGGACGCAGGACGCTCGAGAGCATCCTGCAAATGACGTCGGGAGGAAGACATGTTCTCACTATGAGGCATAGAATCCTTCCGGCGTCAATGCGTAGGATGCTGGTCACGTGTGTCGGTAACCATTTTTTTCAAGATCGTTACCGAATCACACCGAGCCACTCCGGGTTTTATGCCCAGCAGGTGGTTTCGCTGTTTCCTCGTGAAACAATGGTAATTTAGTTTCTTATTCTTTTATCTACAGGAGTTGTTAAGTTTTTTTTTATCATTTTAGGCTTTTTACCACGAGCAGCTACCACGGCAGGCACTGAAGTCTAAATTTTGCAACAAGTACAAGTACTTGTTGCGAAGGCGCTAAATTTAGACTTCAGTGCCTGGGCGTGTGTGGCTGTGGAGCCACCACCTGCAGGGCCTGCCCAGGTCGCTTCGTCGCTGCCTCTTTGTGTATCGTCCGATGATGTTAAGGTAAATTTCACTACAATATTTTACAATTAAATACTTTTATGAACACAGCGAATCACACACTAAGTAATCCATTGATCTTGAGATTTAACAAAGTGAAATCTTGATATTAAATGGAAAGGAAAGTTTATATCGTAAATCGCGTTGATCTTCTCTAGATGTAGAAAATTCGCCTGGGAAACGTTTCAGAAGGTGCGAAAGCCTGGCAAATGGACGTGAAATATGAGTCAATAATTTGGGGATGTTGACAGAGAGTTTCCGACTTCTTTCTTGCCATTGATTGACCTATTGATTCACCGCACAAAGTCACACATGTTTCCCCAAAGGCAATTCACTATGATAGGGGTGAGATAAAAAGATCACTCCTCAGAGAATATTCTCGAAATCTCCGTGGCAATTGGCTCCACCGTTCACTATGTGTCAAAATCCTATTATTGGCAATCTTTTAGCCCCTGAAAGTGAAGGTTGAGTGCTAAATGGTGCATCTTCAAACACATTTAACCCCAAAATACTCGAGCTCAAGCGGTGAATGTGTAAAATGTAAAGAAGTTGCAGTCATATGGTTTTGTTCCGTGACAAGGTTCATGTACACAGTGTACATAAGAATTGTATGAAGCCCCGGAAATTAACATGAAAACATAATAGTGGTAAATCGTAAAATTATGATTTTGCAATAGAAGACCAAGGCAAACACATTTCAATTCATTTCAGTTGTGACAATTTGAAGAGAATTCAATGTAAATTTAAAATTAACTCAAAAATTAACAATTTTTTAACCCAATAGCAAAGTTCTTTGTTGAAATTTTTGTTTCAATACTATCGTACTCTCCCACGAGCAGTTTGCCTCGAATATATAGTGTTAAACATTGCTTTTTAGCAAGAAATTGATTAAATTTGCTACAAAATGCAAATTCACTGTGAACTTTTCTCCTCGATAAACCTGCTTCAAAGAGTAATTTGTAGTCGATAAGAGCAGCAAAGTGAAATGCAGCGCCAATTTCCCACGTAAACTGCCAGCGTGTGAGCTTCTGAAAAGCTTAGGATAATTCAGTGTGTAAATCTCCACTGCTCAGGTTGGGGGACTTATCGAGAGAGCAAGTAAGATGCTCAAGTATCTCGTCTGATAATTGAATTTTTTCTCTCATCAATTTTTCACTGAGAGCTCGAAAGGATGAGGGACAATCGATGAACGCTTTGGGGACGGGAGAGATTTTTGTCTAATGTGGGGTTCGGGATTCGAGTGACTTTGAATGTGTTTTAGCTGAGTGAGGGCGGGAGGTCAAAAGGCAAAACTTTAGCTCTCCTCCTCGGGCAATTTGGCCAAGAAGGACATGGACAATGGCGAGGAGACAGCTTACGAAATTGATTTCAATATCTACTCATGGATAAACGACTGGAAAAGCACACCTGAGCGCACCACTTTTTCTCCCACTTCCCTGGGCAATGGGTCTCGGACTGGGAAATGGTCCAGGACTCGGGGAATCCAATTGCCTCACATCGAAATATTTAACTTGATTTATAGATAATTCATAGATTCTATAATTTCGGTATATTTATTTCTATTCCAAGGAAAGTATTCTTGTTTTCAAAAACACAGAGAGTCTTTTTATCCTTTATCGTCGTATCATTTAGATTTCGCTAGCAACAATCGATGTCATCTCAATTATTGTATTTGCCGACGCAAGCTAAACTAAGAGAGTTTCTTCTTTGGAAAGGCGTTTTATTTTTCCATATATGTAACTCTAATTATAATTTTTGTGCGATTTCAGAACGTTCTCCACAATTCCATCCGTGTTCCTCGTCATGCAGGCAAGCATTTACCAGATTCTGAAGGAGCACTTTAGCCACTTGGACTGCTGCGTGAAGCTCATCGAATTGTTTCACCATTACACATTCATCACGACTCTGGAACAGTTGGTGGACACAAAGATCGCGCATGAAAACATCACGAACTTCTACATGGAGAAATTCAAGTCCATAGTAGCCAACAAGACGCCCTCCTACATCTTATATCTGCACATCACGGCAGCAATGCATCATGGATCATGGATAAACTGTACAGGTGAGAGTCTTAAAGTCAGAGATTTGATGATGAGGTAGCGGTAAGGATTATCATCCCCTTGATTCTGGGACAAAACAATAGATCGGTCTAGAATTTTTGTTTATATACAGGCTTTTGTGCGGGCCACACACTATTTACTGCGATATTAAATCAGGTAATGTAATTTATGTCTCACCAAGAAATCGACAGGGGCGACCAAAATGGGATACGTGAAGGGGAGTCCCGTGCCATCCATATTTCGCCTAGTAATAAATGCCTGGCAATTGTGCTGCAAGGGAGCTACCCAGAATGTACATAGAGAATTCTTGAAATTCCTACCACGTTTCATGTAACTTAAGTGACTCTGTTTTTAAGTTGTTTCATTTTGTTGTTTCCAACTGCTATAGCAACTATAGGGCGACTCTGAAGTGAATTTCAATAGCTCAGCAATAGCAAGTGATAGGGGCCAAGGATGGGGAGTGAAAGAGTGAGACGCGCTCCGTGGATTGGAGAAAAATCACTTCAACTTGATTCGAGACTTGATTAGGAAATTCTTTTCCGCACACCCAAATTGATCATTTTCACGCCCTGAAGTTACATCTCAGCCCCACTCCACATTCATACATGCTGAATTAAATATATAGTGACATAGTCAATGAAGTTTTTCCTCCCCCCGCCAACAAAGGCCATCGAGGCGATTTTCAGCAAAGTTTCAACGTTTCAACTTTTTTGGCGACTTTTCCTCTTCCCACAAGGTGAATGTCTCTACACGATGTGATGGGTGATGTAAAAATTTCAAGGGATTATTTTGTATGACACTTTTTCCTCTTTCACATTCTCCGGAAGCTTTTATGACTGGATTGCCTTTGGTAAATAGTATGGTTGACTTTAGCATTATGCCAGAGAGGCAAAAGAATTTTGAGACAACATAAATGCAAAAGTTCGAGGGAAAAAACACACAACCTTAAATATTAAAGTAAGGGATTTCGACAATTTGTCATTCCAAGTATCTCTTGAAGGATGTTCTATAAGAAATTTCGTATTCTCCTTTATTAAAGCTGGCAACTTGGCAACAATTCGTACAAGAATAAGCTGAAGCTTAATTCAGGATTTGGCGTTCCATAATTCCTATGATAATTTTATCGAAGAACAATCGTATATTGAAATTAATTTCCAAGCTTGTTTTCAAGTTGAATTTAATGATTAATACTGGCTTTTGAATGCATATATAAACTCAGAACAGACACTCTGAGTTCGTTTATTAATGTACAGAACTGTTTGTGCTCTCAGTGTTCATTTTTAATTCATTTCTACTTGTCTGTAAAGTCAATTGATTATTTTCAGTAACTTGTTCCTAAAAACAATTCTATTTTATTCAATTCTACATGAGTGTTGTAAGAAGTACATGTGTAGTTCACACTAAAGGTCATAATTATAATTAATAATATTAATACTTGTATTAAAACATCATTTTTTAATTTTTTAATCTCGTGATTCGAAATTTTCCACTTGCCCCATTTTAAAATGTACATGAATTACATAATCCGCAATTTGTTATCCCATTTGCGAACGCATCAAGAGAAAGCTTATCATGAAAGTGTGTTAAAAGCCCGAGTAAAGCTTTCACTGTGCTGAGTTACCTAATTGCAATTCCATAATTTCGTGCATTTTTCAAATTAATCCCTTTACATCAGTAATTCATATTTAATTGCAAATAATCGCTCCAGCTGAGGCATTCGCCACAGGCCGGAAAAGTGCGCAGTAATCGGTGATATTTCCATTTCGTCTCATTTTAAAAGTTGAGCAATTAGCAAGCCACAGTGATGGATAAGTGTTGGAGTGGATTTCAATTTTCATGGTGAGAAATTAAATTTAATGAAATTTTCAGTGCACATACTCTAATTATCCTCTACGTGGCATTCGAGCCGCATTTAAGCGAAGGAGCTCGCAAGTTTCTATTGCTGCACCCCATTAACTCAAACGTACACCTCAGCTATGCACACACACAGGAAAGCCAAGTGCTCAGAAACTCGTCAACAATATGGCAAATTTTGAGGCAAAAGAGCGGCTCCTTGCAGTAATACGGCGACATGATAACATTTCTGATTAATAGG